TTATACTTTGTTATATTATATAAGAGCTATTCTGCCTATCTCATCTGTAAAACGCATAGCTAGGCATGAGAATCAAGGACATAGTATATTTGGTCAGATCAAATACGTTTGTTTCGTCTTAAAATAATTGGCTTGAGTTTGACAAAGTGGAAGACACTTAAACACCATACTTCTGACTCACCATTTGACGTGGTTGTCGCTACTGTAGTTGTCGCTGTAGTTGCTGTTGCAGTTGCAGTGTGGGTGGCGGAGCACTGTACCGCACTTGTGATTGAAACTTGCGGCGGAGGTAAGGAGACGCTGTATGCTGTCATAAGAAGAACATGAATAAGATATTAAATCATGATATTGCAATTAAATGCTGTTAAGTCCACCGCAAGATAAAAATGTTCAATGCCTTGAACATCAAGATGCTCCTAACATAAGTATTGAAGGATAGAGAAAAATCTTCTTGCTTCAAACTTCATTTTTCAGTCATTGCATAAACGTTTGCATTCCTTCAGTGACTAAACCCCGGTGGGGGGACTCCCTTATAAAAAGGACGGGGGGTGCTCGTCGGAAATTTGGAAAGATCTTGCTTTGTGGGCGTGGCTTGAAATTTTTCACCATTGAGATATACCAATTCTAAAACCTAAAACAAAACATTACCTCCTATCATTTTTTTTTTTCGTCTTAATACCNTCGATGCTAAGCTCCCGTCAAATATTTGTACGTAGTCATATGGGCAGTGACTACCACCATCTTCCAGATGGAAATGTTCAAAGTGGAGATAAACATAGTAGCCGGCTGATACCGTGATTGTCCAGGAACAGTCCAGATTGTGTGCATAATGTTGGGGATAATCTGGACTGGTGAAATTTCCTCTCACGTCAGTTAAGCTGTAGGAACAAGAATCTGAAAACAATTGTGATCTGAGTTAATCATGCAATGATCAATTGTTATTTTTATCATGTTGTATGAAGCTGATATCAGCCGAGATACGGACTGTAATGGAGCATGCTTTGTCATTTTCGTCACAAATTGGCTTTGGAAGAGTGCTTTAATTTACGACTTCATGATCAACTCTTTGCATCTTCATTAAAAGCACTAGGCCGTTGTGTATCGTATATAGCAATAATAAGAACCAAATACCTGGTGTAGGTGTAACAGCAGAAACAGTTGCACTTGCGTGGACTATGAAAGAGAATATAACTGCATTATAAATGAGAATACAGCTTGATGTAATGAGTCTTAGCAGTTTTCGCTCTCTGACTTTCCGAGCTTCCGTCTTTCCGCACGTCTGACTGTCCGTATGTTTGTTTTAAGTCTTTGTGTCTGTTGCCTGTCTTTTTTGCATGTCTTGTGTCTGTATCTGTCTAAGTCGGTCCGTATGCCTGCCTGTCTGTCTGTCTGTCTGTGTGTCCGTCTTTCCGTGTTGGTCGGTTTATTTTACAATTGTTTTTCAATACCCTGCAATAATCCTGCACGACACGTGGTCGTGCTGGACACCAAAGACAAAAGCAACAATTGACAGCAAGATCACAATACCTGGTGTAGGTGATATAATAGAGGTGGTTGAATAGTTTGCTGTGGAAGAAATAAATGAGGCTGTAAATTACAACTTGATGTACTTTGTACTTGGACGTCCTTATAAATTGAAATTGGAAAATTATTTCGGCGTAGAATCTAGTTGTTAAATTATTATTATTTAAATCTATTTTTTAACAAGGCTGTCTGCCTATCTGTCTGCCTGTCGTGTCTGTCTTTGTATCCTCACCTCCTCCATTTCCACAATAGCGTAACCAGCAGGCTGGTGGTGGACCAAGTTCGTACACGTAAAATCCACCGCAGTTACGAACACGAATGCTCGTAGACCAGGCACAGCATCCAGAACTCCAATGAAAGCACACTGTAGCATGCACAGCTCCGTCAGCTACAGAGGGATGCGAGTCATTCAACCAGCCCGGCGCATGCGAACTGCATCGATTTTTGCCTACGCATGATGTGGGCATCTCAGTCCCCGCCGCCCCTCGAAACCGGTACCAACCAAATGGAAGATAATTATCGCATTGGTAATAACCGTAGTATCCATTATAAAATCCCATTCCTCTGACGGAGTCTTCCAGGTACGAGTGGTGGGAACATTCTGTGAGAACATTTAAGAAGAAGAAGATAGTTCCTGCTATTAGCAAAAGATGAAGTAATGTTCTAAAGTATATAATTTAAGGGAAAAGAAATTTCACACTGTGGCCAATGTCATCGACAAGTCTACCAACAAGGCCTCCGTTGCTTTTTGTGACAAAACGATTGACGGTCTCAGGGGAAAAGAATGGTAAGAATCGTTTTCTCGATCCTGCAATTTGGTCCAGAAAGATCACTTAAGTTAAGATAAGAAAATACAGACCTCAGTTTTCAGCAGTTGAGATTTTTGCAAAATATTCAATCACGTTAGATGTCACAATTGACCATCATATTGAAAAGTGTTCATGTCTGGAGAGATATTTTAACTCCATACTTCCCCCCTGAGCGATATCCAGACAGTTACTTCTTCCAATGTCCAGAATTAAGATTTCAACGTAAGTTACGGTAAATGTAGTCCAAATAGACTTATTATCACCTACTTCCAGCTCATACATTTCCCTTCAGTTTAACTTCCATTATATGTTACAAGTGGACTCGTAAGCCACACATGTACGCATTGCGAACCTATTTTTCTCAGAGTAACATGATTAGATACTAGTGATTATCTGCCATGGTCCAAGGAGCAGAGGGAAATCAATACAATTAGTTCCTTTAAAATTGTCTCAATAAACAAAAAAAGATACGAACAAATGCAGAAGCATATACAAGGCATATGTAGTGATATGACTGAAAATTATCAAGTCAACCATTCATTACTGTTCTTCCACTTGAGTTAAGAAAAGAAAGTGGACACTTTAATGATCATCAGCCATGGTTACCTACGCCGTGATATGGCGATCAGTTACTTTAACTTTAATATTTATACAAGGCAAATAAACATCAAAGTAATTATACTACAAACCTGGTGAATACGGCGATACTGAACTGGAAGATACCGTTTGACCTGCGAATGAAAAATGGAAGAGTGTTGCTATGATATGTTTCTACAACAAGTCCCAATTAAAATCGAAAGTGTAGTTTAGTTTATTTTGCAGTTTCCACACTTTCCGTTTACTGCACTTTATATTATTTCTAACAATACTGTATTCACATCGAACGTCGAGTGGAGAAATACAAAATACAAAATGCAAATACAAAATACAAAGTTTCGCTGATGGTTTCATCAGAGGACATTTTTCCTTTTCCACATAGCAAGAAAATACTTGAATTTGATCCTTTAATAGGGCCTATTTGAACTCTTCAAGAGAATAGTCGCTTCATTGGCCCTTGGACTTTTTAACCGGACAGTACCTAGCATAGAATAAATGCCTTCAACGGACTATTCTGACTATAACCGGTTTTAGCATTAATCAATCACAACGGAAATATAATCAAAGATTTCCACCCTTGAACACCGCCTGTTATCATATCAAATTAAGCGAAATGAAATGCTTTGACGAAGGGACATATATTTTTAACATCAGTGTTATATATGTAGTAGAGGGTTTTTCCCTCGGTTAAAGCAATTCTATACCTTAATAAAGTTATTATTTTCATTATTATTATGAAAAGATCATAATTTATTGTATGCTCTTTTCTTACTGGATGAACTCGGTAAGATGCTAGCAGTCGTATATCCACCAATGACCGGGCAGTACGAGAGTCTCTGGTGGACTCTTTGATAATGGGCGATGAAACCAGAGTAGGCAACTGACCCATCAGTTATAAAACGAACATGCAGTACGCTGGTGTTGCTGTAGACACACCAAGAATCGTGATAATCGCAGTATTTCGGTATGATGGGGTTCCACTGATCGACTTCGTCATATATCCGCACGTAATCATACGGGCAGCTATAGCGACTACCCTCCAAATGGAAATTTTCAAAGTACAGGTAAACATAGTAGCCGGGTGTTACGGTAATTATCCAGGTGCAGTCAAGAGAGTGTGGGTAGTAGTATGGGTAATTTGGACTCGTGAAGCTTCCTTGCAGGTCTGTTAGGCGGTAGAAACAGGAATCTGGAAATTGTCAAATGGAAAATAATTAATCTCACGGCATAATAACGGCGTTAAAAGTATAACGTTCCTTCTTTGTGCAAACATGAAAACGCACTACAAGACACTGCTCTACACTGACACTGCTACACTGATATACAATTAATCCTACGGCATAATAACAGCCTTAAACTATAACGTGGATTCACACGTTACGTGTTCCCATACAATGAAATTTTTACACTTTGGAAATGGGTTCCTTTCTTTTGCAAACATGAAAACACACTATAAGTCACTGATCGTGATAAAATGTTCACTGTTCATTCCTCTAACTCTAGACGCATTAGCCAATGAGACGACTGTTCCGTTTGTCCATTACCAGTAGTTTCATTAATAAAGTTAACCCACCTGATGTAGGTGTTGGAGCTGTCGTCCAAACTTCAGTGGGAAAAGAAAATGAAAACGGTGTAAGTGAAATAGTTTAATATACTACGTATACAAAGTTGAAATGTTCAATTTTCAAGACCCGTATAGCGTAACAATTATTTAGACAAACAGGAAGCGGATTTAGACAGCAATCTTATCACCGTAAGCGAGTCTTTCGAGATAAAAACTATAACAGAAGAAAGAAATGCATTTTTTCCTTCCCAAACACCTTTAGCTTCCAAACACCAACACAAAATTGAAGAGATGATTTGACGGTTTGGCACACATGCAAGCTACAAAGTGAGCACAAAGTACCTTTCTCACCTTGCTACCTAAACACAGTTCTGCAACCAAGATATCACCGGATTTCCACAGAAAATGCGCAGTTTGATATTGCACATTGAGTTTATTATTCAGACCCAAGGATTTATTCCAGATACAAGCACGAGTTATCCACCTCCGTATGGTTGAAAAACAATGGAATTGCGTGGTGCAAAGGAGTTGGAACAGACAAACGAGATTATAATAAGAAATGCCATCTTTATTACCAAGTTTTCATGATTGACGATTGTTTTCATGGCGGCCGAGTGGTCTCGCAACCCAGTGGTCCCGGGTTCGCGTCCCACTCTGACCACCACCTAGATTTGTTTTACGGTAGCTCCGCGTTCAAATCCACGGCCACGTAGCTTGTAAACAGCCAACTGCTTTGCCTCCGGCCAGTTGGGATTCCAAAGTTATGTTCACTTTGAATTATTTGTTTCAGTTGTTTGCTCGGTCCCACTAGCCTTTGTGCTATTAATACCACCAAGGGTAAATAAAGGGTATATTTATTATTTTATTTATTGACTTCGAAATTTTCATCCGCTCAACCTCAGTCTTCAATCCTCACTATGCAAGCCGAAGAAAAGAGTGATTTCCGAAAGTTTCGTTGCAAGATCGATTTTGATTGTTTTTGAAAGTAATAAAAATGACTGAAGATAAAATGCAAAGCAAGGAGGTCGATTGAGTCACTTTTTAAACTGTTAGGCATGCCAGCTCGACCAGAAATATGATATTTTCTGATATTCCAATCAGAGCTTTCCTGCCTTGCTTGCTACTCAACTGCTGGTCAAAGGGAACGAAGACTTTGGACGTAATAGTGAAATTCAAGAGGAGGGGGAGAGTCAAATGAACTGACGCTATAGGTTACGCATGCGTCAAGCCGTTAAGCCATTCCTTTCAAATAGACACACATAAGATGATATACGTACCAGGACTTGGAGGTTCAGCTTCCGGAAAAAAGGTTAAGAACAAAAGAGAGAAAGTAAGTATTAGATACGGAGCAATATTTGAAAAAACGAGAAAATTACGGATTCACAAATTTGTAAAATTTAGCTCGTGGTCCAGAACCTGGAGGAATGTTTCTATCACAATTTTACACTACCGTTTCAAGCAATTGATATACTAAGTCTTTAAGTCCTAGAAATCGGAGTTCATTTATTTTAAAATGTCAGTGAATCCCATTTCCTAAAGATAGGAATTCGTAGAAAAAGTGGCAAAAAGCATGGCCACCTCACTTCACCCGATAACTGAATTGGCCAGAATCTTTATAGCCGAAACTTCCTAACCACGGCTGTTTGTTGGGCTGAATCTTAGCTACGAACCATTTGCCAAGTTATAGAAATCACCAAACTTATCTCAGAAGTCAAATAATATAATATTTTTAGAAAATGAAAGAATGATTAAGGTGTAACGAAAAACCCCAAGTCTATGCCAAGCGGCTTATCAAGCAGTCAGCTGCTCTTAGAAATCACTAGAAGTATAACCAGGGACGGATCCAGGATTTTTCTTGGGAGGGGGCTCACAACTAAGAAATAACGTAACTGACTGGTGAGGTAAACAAACTTTGAAAGCGTATACAAAGAAGGCTTCGTCTCATGAGAGGGTGGGGGGGGTGTGCCCCCCCTGCAGCCTCCCCCTAGATCTGCCCCTGTAGAACGTAAAACAAAGATCGTAAGAAAATGTCTACTTTACTTGTATTGACAACAGAGCAGTTTGGATAAGTCTGATGGACTCTTTCGTAATAGGCGCTGAAACCTGGGTGGGATACTGATCCATCCGTTATTAAGGTAATAGTGACGACATTGCTGTGGCTGTAAACACACCAAGAATCTTGATAAGCGCAGCGTTTTGTTGTTATAGGGTTCGATGCTAAGCTCCCGTCAAATATTTGTACGTAGTCATATGGGCAGTGACTACCACCATCTTCCAGGTGGAAATGTTCAAAGTGGAGATAAACATAGTAGCCGGCTGATACAGTGATTGTCCAGGAACAGTCCAGATCGTGTGCATAATGTTGGGGATAATCTGGACTAGTGAAATTTCCTCTCACGTCAGTTAAGCTGTAGGAACAAGAATCTGAAAACAATTGTGATCTGAGTTAATCATGCAATGATCAATTGTTATTTGTATAATGTTGTATGTAGCTCATCTTAGCCGAGGTACGAACTATAATCGAGCATGCTTTGTCATTTTCGTCACAAATTGGCTTTGGAAGAGTGCTTTAATTTACGGCTTCATGATTAACTCTTTGCATCTTCATTAAAAGCACTAGGCCGTTGTGTATCGTATATAGCAATAATAAGAACGAAATACCTGGTGTAGGTGTAACAGCAGAAATAGTTGCACTTGCGTGGACTATGAAAAAGAATATAACTGCATTATAACCGAGGATACAGCTTGATTTCATGAGTCTTAGCAGTTTTCGCCTTCTGACTGTCCGATCGCGCTTTCTTAGTTCCGTCTCTCTGACTGTCTTTGAGTCTGTTTGTCAGTTTTTTGTGTGTGTCTTATGTCTGTAGCTGCTTAAGTTGGTCTATCAGCCTGTCCGTCTGCCAGTCTGTCTGACTATCTATGTCCGTATGCCCGTCTGTGTGAACATCTATGTGCCCGCCTGCCTGTCTGTCTGTCTGTCTGTCTCTTTATTTTACAATCTTTTTGTAATATATGCCCTGTCCTGCATGACAAGTATAGTGGTGCTGTACACCAAAAACAAAAGCAACAACTGACAGCCAAATCACAATACCTGGTGTTGGTGATATAACAGAGGTTGTTGAATAGTTCCCTGTGGAAATGAATAAATGAGGCTGTAAATTACAACTTGATGTACTTTGTACTTGGACGTCTTCACAAATTTAAATTGGAAAATTATTTCCGCATGGAATATAGTTGTTACAATATTATTCAAGGTTATTTTAACAAGGCTGTCTGCCTGTCTGTCTGTCTGTCTGTCTATCTATCT